GACAAATTGAGATTTATTAATCATTATTATTTCACAATTTGACTCCACTATCGTGGTATTAAAAATAATGTATTAAATTATTATTTATATTCTTTTTTTTTTTTTTTTTTTTTTTTTTTTTTTTTTTTTCATTAGAGTATAACAAAAATGTTCATCAATCTTCCGAGGTTTCTGTTTTTTTTTTATTTTATTTTTTTTTTTTAATGAAAATTATCCGTAAGGACATATTTTAATTTATAGCGTAATTAATGTATCCCGTTGATTAATTAAATTGTTCGCATCAATCGTCAAAAAGTTTTACGTCGATTATTTAATAAATCGATTATTATCAATATAATAATTTAAAATGTGTATATTATTTATATACAGTATATAAATTATAAATATGTTATATAATATAAAAATAATATTCGATTAATTATTTAATTATTTATCAGATACAAACACTTATACGTTTGCATGAGAACGTGTAAAATAAAAAATAAAAAATATAAAAACCTACTGTTAATGAAAAATACAAAATACATTTGTAAATCTGTAAAAAGTGTTTTTTTTATATATATATTTTTATTGTCAGAAAAATTCTAAATATAATTAATTGAAAATTTGTATATATTTTGTTGATAAAAAATAATGTTAGATTGTTTAATTGATTAATTTTCAGATACAAATAACCACGGCGTTCGGTTAGATCGAGAAACACTAGTAACAAGTTAATAATCGGTAAGAGATACAAGGATCGTGATTTTCGCGAAAATAAAAGATTGAAGATGGTGGAAGGGGTTATTGTTGTTGTCGATGACGACGACGTCGAAGACGATGACGATGAAGAAGGGAGTTCAAACGAGCGAGGTAATGAGGTCGTACAGGAGGTGAAGTATAGCAGCAAAGTACAGTTTCGCGCACCCGATATCATTGAATTATGAAGAAACTCTACCAAAGAAATGGCTAGAAAATAACAAATTGACTTTTCTGACGGTTTTTATTTTCCTTTTTTTTTATTTTTTTTTTTTTTTATTTTTATTTTTATTTTTTTTTTTTTTCGATCGATCATAACGCGAATCAACGAAGGGTGATGCAGGAGTGGAAACAAAATGAACGAGAAATGAAACAAAATTACGCGAGTAATAATTTCAACTCTCGCAAAATCTAAAGTTTATTAATTAATGAGAAATATAAATCAAAAAAATAGAACTTGGGATTTTTACAGTAAAAATGTGAATACACAATGTTAAAAAAATTCGCGTTAATTGATTTTGATAGAATATAATTAAATATTTATTATTATTATTATTATTATTATTGATTATTTTTATGAAAAATTATATTTTATTGATGATACTTTTATCGAAAAGAATATTTGAAAAAAAAAAAGAAAAAAATCTAATGGAATTATATTACGACAAATAATTCTACGAAAATTGTATAATTAAGTAGTAAAGTCTCGTTTTAGTCAGACAGTCGGAACATACGAACGAACGAACGAACGAACGAAAAGAGATTCGACAACAGGAATTGTATTAGACGAATACAAAAGTGAAAGGGCAAAATAATGCGAAAAATGTCAATTCGACGTAAAATTCGTCGAAACATATTTGACAAAGTGGAGAAGAGAGAACAAAAAATGACGAATAAAAAAGAGAAAAGTTTAAAGTTAAAATCGGATCGATAATCTAGTCAACTGTTTCTCCCCCATGTATCATTTGTTAGTTCCATTTAAAAAAAAAAAAAAAAAGGAAATTATTGCAGAGAATGAATCTCATTCGTGGAAGGGGGTGGAAAACGAGAAAAAATAATAATATGAAAAAAAATAAAAGGAAGAATAAAGCAAACAACTACACAACCAAAATCGTATAATACGATCGTAACGAATGTTCCTTATTTTCTTCAATTCCCATAAAATAAAAGATAAAAATAAAAATACACCAAAAAAAAAAAAAAAAGAAAAGAAAAACCACGCGTTGTATTAATAAATCACGTAAACGTGTAATACGATGGACCAAAAATACAAAAGCAAAACATACAAATGATAAAAAGAAATAACAAAACTCGATTAATATGCAACAATAGTAAGAAAAAAAATAAATAAATAAAAGAAAATAAACGCAAGAATATTCCCGATCGAAATATTAACAAATTTGTTTCTATCAGAGATATTTCATCATTTATTTTAATTTATGCAATTTCTCGATGCATAAATTATTCCCTTTTTTTTTATTAATAATTTTTTTCAAGACAACGTTGAATCGAAAATTTGTATATTTGTAATTTGAATAATATGATTCATTGAATATAATTTTTTTTATTGATTTTCTTCATAAGAATATTTTTCTAAGTTACTTAATTTGAATTTGATTGCAATCAATTAGTATTAAAAAATTATTTTGAAAATTTTTATCAAAAATTCGTCTTAGTATTTTTCTTTTTTACAACATTGGACGCACAAGCATCGATCATTTTTTTTTTTTTTTATCTCGTTGTCATAGTTATCGTTGACGTCGATATAAAATATGAAATAATCATTTTTCCATGAAGAATTTTTTTTTTTTACTTTTTTTATTTTATTTTGTTTTTTTTCCTCTAACAAACAAAGGTCGTAAGTAAGTGAGAGAAAGCTCTTTGAAGTTCATTCGTGTGTACGAGTTGTTGAAGTTTTGCAAAAAAAAAAAGGAGTGAAAGAGAGAAAGAGAGAAATAAAAAAAGAAATTAAATGAAAAAAAAAAAAAAAAATAAGTCAATCAACGAACGTATCTTTATTTTTTTCTTTCTTTCGTTTGATTTTTTAAAACTTTCTAACATTTTTTAACTGTACGAAAACGGTGACCAAGGTTTTTTTTTTTAACCTTTTTTCTTTTTTCTTCTCCCCATTATTTTTATGGTTTTTTTTTCTACGTATATATCTTCCCTTCTCCCTCTTTCTCTCTCTCTCTTATTTTTTATTCTATTATTTTAATAATACAAATTTGTAGTTTTTACACAAGTGATATAATTTTTTTAATTTTCTACTTGTCTTGAAATAATTTATTTGACAATCAGATAGTGTATGTATATTCTTGGTTTAATTTTGGCATGAGTTATACGTTTTTATATGTTTGTTGTTCATGCGTGTGTGTGTGTGTTTTTTTTTTCTCTCTCTCTCTCTCTCTCTCTTTGTTTTTTTTATTTTATTTTTTATTTTTTCGCTAGCATGCACAAAATTGAGGTTTTAACCAAAGTGGTATAAAAGAGAATGTTATCTATTTTAAAATTGATATTTGTTGTTAACAAATATAGATTTATTTGTATTGATGTTTTTAGAAAAAAGGAAATTGCCAAAAATATATTTATATACTTTTATAGATTTATTTTTGTACTATAAGTTTATCTTATATGTTTCTACAAATAGAAAAATATCAATTTTAAACGATATAACGTAGATTTATTTTATATTTACTTTTTATCACACAAGATTTTCTTTTTATATATATATATATATTTTTTTTTTTTTTTTTTTAAGAAGAAGAAGGTAAAAAATTTGGATTTTTTCCTTTTTGATCAAAGTATTTACATATTTTCTTCTAGTATTATAATATTTCGTATGTACGAATACGTAAAAAAAAAAAAAAAAAAAAAATTATCATAAATATTATAATACATTCGCAATGAGATTACAATTCTTTGTTCAAAATATAATTTGTTTTACTTTACGAGTTATTCATTTGTGTTTTATAGAAAATTAACGAAAAAAATATTTATGCACAATTATGAATTTCATTTACATATACAGATTTGGATGTTATATTTTTATTCATGCATGAACAAATCTGACGTTCAAATCTAAAAGTTATAATTAATTTACATTTTATACTTTTTATCAAGCGTAAGAATTTTTCTCGTATTTTTAGAAAACAAAAGTATAAATATCTTTATGTGTGCATTTACGTGTGTGTGTGTGTGTGTGTATTTTTCTTTTTTATTATTTTTAATTTTATTCTTTTCTATTTTTATTTTTACATTCGCTAATCTGAAATGACATATAACGCATATCAAAGTTTAAAATATTTTTATCAAACGGTGAATTTTGTGTCTCGTATTTTTAAACAAATCGAAAAAAAAATATATTAAACCGTACATTAATTTTATTGCGGTATTTTCTTTTTTTTTTTTACTCACATGAACAAATCCAAAGTATTATAAACCAAAATGACAAAAAACAAATGCGTTAATCGTAAATTTCAATTTTTCTTTTTTTTATCAAACAGTGGAGGATTTATTGGTATTTTTGAAAAATAAAAAAACAATTGATCCACGTTGTCACGTGTATTAATTTTATTTTTTTTTGTTTTACAATAGTTCTATTAAATTCGAAATAATAATTATTTTACAATTACAAATCCTATATATTTCTAAAATAAAATTGAGAAACTATTTATGTCCTTAATTATTAAAGTGGTCTAACCGTAAATGCATTTTATATATAATATTAAAATAACAAAAATTACAATGAATATTAAAAACATTGTAACAAAATTACATTAAATTTATTTCATTTCATTGTAAAATAACTGATAATCTCATTTCATTTAAATTTTGACTTACAATTAGACCACTTTTATAATCATGGAACACATTTATGCACTTTCACATGCACACACATAAAAACACATAATACATACTTACATGCAAAATATATGAAATACTTATATACACTTGAGGTTTCATTTTGGGGACAAGTATATTCAATCTAGCAAATACTGTATAATAAATTTTCTCTTAAATCTAAAAGGGCCTTTAATAATCAGAGTCCTCTACACGAACTCGTTACGCCGAAAAATCAACGTCAATTAAAATTTATATTAATGCTTTCAGCAAGAATATAAATTATATCTACCCATACATACATACATAAATAAATAAATAAATAAATAAATAAATAAATAAATATATGCACATATATAATAACAATCACACACGTGAGCGATGCATTTATGCACTGTGTCATGTTTTAGAGACAAGAAATAGGTGAGACAAGCTTGCTGATAACATTCGCGAATGAAACACAGATACATCTATTTAACAATCACATATGCATATATTCAAATACATACATATGTACATACAAACATAAGTACAACAAATACATAATATACACACATGCGTATAACCAATATAATATTCACATGTGAATATG